TCTCTATTCTGTTCCATTGATCTATGTGTCTGTTTTTGTGCCAGTACCATATTGTCTTGATGATTACAGGTATGTAATAGAGCTTGAAGTCCAGAATCATGATGCACCCAGTTCTGCTTTTCTTTCTCAGGATTGCTTTGGCTATCTGGGGTCTTTTTTGGTTCCATACAAATTTTGGGATTGCTTATCCTAGCTCTATAAAAAATGCTGGTGGTATTTTGTTAAGGATTGTATTAAAAGTATAAATTGCTTTGGGTAATATAGACATTTTAATAACATTTGCTCTTCCAATCCAAGAGCATGGAATGTTTTTCCATTTCTTTAAGTCCTCTTCCATTTGTTTTCTAAGTTGTTGGGTTTTTTTTGTTTTTTGTTTTTTTTAAGATCTGATTTATTTGACAGAGATCACAAGTAGGCAGAGAGAGTGGGGAAACAGGCTCCCTGCCGAGCAGAGAGCCCCGCCCAATGCGGAGCTCCATCCCAGAACCCTGAGATCATGACCTGAGCCAGAGGCAGAGGCTTAAACCACTGAGCCACCCAGGTGCCCCAATTTCCTTAGTATTTTATGATTTCAGAGTATAGATCTTTTACCTCTTTGGTTAAGTTTATTCCTAGGTATCTTATGGGTTTGGTGCAGTTGTGAATGGGATCGATTCCTTGATTTCAGTTCCTGTGGCTTCATTATTGGTGTCCAGGAATGCAACAGATTTCTGTTCATCGATTTTATATCCTGCAATTTGCTGAATTCATGTATCAGTTCTAGCAATGTTTTGGTGGAGTCTTTTGGGTTTTCTACAGAGTATCATGTCATCTACAAATCGTGAAAGTTTGACCTCTTCCTTGACAATTTGCATGTCCTTAGGCTGATTTCTTTTTTTTTTTTTTTTTAGATTTTATTTTTTTTTTTTGACAGAGAGAGATCACAAGTAGATGGAGAGGCAGGCAGAGAGAGAGAGAGAGAGAGAGAGGGAGGCAGGCTCCCTGCTGAGCAGAGAGCCCGATGCGGGACTCGATCCCAGGACCCTGAGATCATGACCCGAGCCGAAGGCAGCAGCTTAACCCACTGAGCCACCCAGGCGCCCCCTTAGGCTGATTTCTTACCTGACTTGTCCTATGGGGCTGCGGAGACCCCAAAAAATCGTGGCCATTTCAAAGTGCCCTTGAGCCTGATGCTTTTTTATCTTCAACTGATACCCACTTTCTAGAAGGGAAGTTTATGGCCAGGAGAGCCACCATCTGGACTGATCTGCACAAAGGGGCAGTGCCCAGGACAGCCTGGGTATGGAAGGCTGGACTCCAGCCAGGCCCATCAACGGCACAACACGGGTCTGTTTCCAGGTCAAGCAGATTTTCCAAGGACCTCTCTCCGCTGTGGCTCCCAGGGAAAGAACCTCAGGGCAGTTCTACTGACTGGAGGACACACACAATGTCTGGACATCCCTTTCAGGATTTTGGCTTTGCCCCGCCCCTCCCCAAATGATACATTTGTTAAAGGAGACTTTTCAGAAAAAAATAAAAAGATGACTCTCGTAAGATTTTTTTTTTAATGAACACATTAAGGATTTTATTGTACTCATATAATAGGAGGGAATGAGGCAGCTGTGACAGCTCGTTGGAAGGGAGAAGGAAAGAGCACAAACGTATGCAGAGTAAAGGCATCACGAAAGGAGAGAAACCTGAGATCGCGAAAGGAGAGAAAACAGATTTTTCCACAGATGGGAGGAAGCCAACTGATCCTCCACCAGAGGGGACAGAAGTTACTAACTCACTGGTTACCAGCAACTTACAAAGAGTCATGGTGGCACCAAGGGGCCAGAATCAGACGACCCAGAAGGGTGTGCCACCGATGACAGAGGCTGTCCCCAAAAAACACAAAGTTTCTTCTGTGTGACATTCATCGTGAGGTCGCTCACGGTGAGCAAAAGGTTTCCTCCTATTGGGGGAAACCCACAGGGATGGGACAGTGGGTCTGACACAGACGGTGGGAGCCTCATAAAATGTGTCAAGGAGGGCTTTTCTGGAGCACCTGGCTGGCTTGGTCCGTACAGCATGCAACTCTTGATCTCGGGGCTTGAGTTTGAGCCCCATGTCAGGTGCAGAAATTACTTAAAATCTTAAAAATAAATAAATAAATAAACAGAAGAAGAAGGGCTCTTCTGTTTCCTAGCAGGTGGGCTTGGCAGTACTCACTGGCCACCTCGAGATTGGATCTGTGATCTCCACTAGTGAAGCCTCTGGAAGTCAGAACGCTCCTCATGGCGCGGCCCTGCAGAGGAGACCCCAACTGGCACCTTGACGAGGCCACACCGGCTAGCAGCGCTAACATCTCACCATCCGCCCGTGACCTTCATGCAAGATGCAACAAGACTGTGAATGACCTCAAGGCCCACTCTCCCAAAGTGACTTACAGTCCCTTCACCAAGCTCCTCTGAACTCTCTTCTCAAATAGACCCTGATTTGGGGGTTTCCGATGACGTCTCTGCCACGTTCCATTCCAGTAAGAATCCCTCTAAGTCAGCTTCACAGAATCCCTGACTCCTCAAATCTAATCTGGTTCCTCATCCTCCACTGCCAACACCCACACCGCACCCCTGGGGTGAGGTCTGATCACGCTGGCTTGTCTTCTGCAAGAACCCATGCGGTCAGTTTTCCAGAACTCCCATCCCCTGTGATGCTTCCTTCCTCTTAGCCATTTTCCATCCACTGACCCCCGCTCCATTCTTTGGCTCTAAATTCCCACTTTTCTTTGTTATTTCTGGAGTTGAGCCCAATCTTTCTCCCCCACTGTAAAACCCCACTTTACTGGTCCCTACCCCTATCCCGATGGTCCTGAGTAAGGTCCATTCTTTAGCAAATGCCATGAATGAATAATTTGTTCTCCCACACCCTACAGTCCTGCTTCACATACCAAGGGTTTCTACAATATCACAAGTCGAGACCCACGGGGATCACTGGTGCCTGTCTGATCTGCCAATTCCCAGGGGCTAACAGTCCTGTCCCCTCTCCTAACTGGAACCTTTCTGAGGCATTCCTTTGCCCCATTATATCTCCATGCTTCCTGACTCCTCTCTTGAACCAGTTATAACACCTGCCTGGTTCCCTTTTTCATGAATGAAATAGAATCTTTTAAAACGTGCTCATTAAAAAAAAAAAAATTGGGGGGGGCGCCTGGGTGGCTCAGTGGGTTAAAGCCTCTGCCTTCGGCTCAGGTCATGATCCCAGCGTCCTGGGATCGAGCCCCGCATCGGGCTCTCTGCTCAGCAGGGAGCCTGCTTCCTCCTCTCTCTCTGCCTGCCTCTCTGCCTACTTGTGATCTGTCAAATAAATAAAATCTTTTAAAAAAAAATTTTTTTTTTAAGTAATCTCTACACCCAACATGGGGCTCGAACTCACAACCCCGAGATCAATAGTCGCACGCTCTACCAATGGAGGCAGCCGGGTGTCCCAACACGGGCTCATTTTTATATCTGTATGAGAGTCAAGATTTTACCTCTTGCTGATGGAACAACATTCCCTTTTTCTCACTGGAAGTCAAAAAGCAAGAAACGAGTGGTAAAGCATGGTCCAACGAGTCTGGCTTTCCTGCTCTCATACCCTCAAGGATTTCAATAATTCATAAGTCAGACTTCTCTATGCAATGACGTTCTCCAACAGAAACAGAGAAAACAGATTTCGACGAGCAAAGGGAACCAGCATCAATGGGACTGTAACCAGCAACGGTATCAAGGAATAAATCGCTAGAAGCTTCAGAGATTTGGAAACCATCAGCAAGCCAAACACAGGCTAAAAAGTACCAGGAAGGCAGTGGCTGAGAGGGAAGGCTGGGTGTTTTCCCTGTGCTGGGTAAACAAAGCAGAAACTTGCCTGGCCACTGATTCCTGATCTTGAATCTGGGAAGGCTCAGCCATCGCCCTACTCATCCGTCTACCCCACAATGATCCTACACACGCCAACTCCAGATATTTATTTGTCAGCAATCCTGCCTGTATTTTCCGGAGGGTACAGGTCTAGGCAGCATGCATTAGAAAGGCACCGATCAGCCTGCTGGCCTGCAAGCATGCCAGTCACGTGGCCGCCTTTGGCCTTCTCTCAAGTTCTCCTGAGGCCTGGAGAGCCCTTGCCCCAGACACCTGCGGAACTCACTCTGACCACCTTATTTTCAGTGGGCTTTGAAAACAACAGGTTGTATTTGCCCCAGGCACAGCCAGCCCAGTCAAGGGGCACGCAGCCCCAGGGTCAAGGGTAAGAATGCTTGCTTAAATTACTATGGTAAGGAATATAGATATTTTGCAGGTTCCAAACCTCCTGAGATGGAAGACCTCCAGGCCACAGACAAAGTGGTCACCTGCTAGTATGACCTCATGGGCCTCCAATCAGCAGTGTCCACCTTCTCAGGAGATCCCCTCCCCGAATTCTGCCCCTAAAAGCCCTCATTTGCAAGCCATCGAGGATTCCGGACTTCTGAGCATTGGCTGCCTGCTCTCCCGGGTAGCGCCACTGTAATAAACGAGCTGGCTCTCTCCTCTGCAAAAGCTCGGTGTCCATTTTTACCGGCTTACTGCTTATCTGGTGGGCAAACTCTCCCTTGGTTCCGCTACATTTTGATGCAGATGTGCTCATTCTCCCCGCAGGCTTATGCTGGTAAGAACCAGACAACCAAAGGTCCAACTGTAGGTCAGTAATTCCAGAGCATTCAGTGGCATGAAAGAAAGGCACCAGATAAATGGAAAAACTTAACACGAGTTTCCGTACGATTTCAACTACGCTTTTCAACAATGTGGCTAAACCGTGCGGGACAACACACCAAGGCGGGCTGGCCAGGGCTGCTTTTCCGCGGTGACAAAGTACAGTACCGCTCTGGTACAAAGTCAGGTTTTGAACAAGGGCTTTGATCGTCTCGTGACCTGCGCGCACCACGGACTCGCTCTACCTCCTGCAAACGCGCGCGCGAGAGAGCAGAGCGGGCTGCGCGCGTTCCTGGGCCCGCGCAGTGCACGTACCTGTCCGCCGCCCGGAGCCTGCGTTCTCCCCGCGCGGAGACTGCCCGCCGTGCCCGGGGACTGTCGGGGCGGGCGGGGCGGAGGCGCCTCCCGCCGGGACGGAAGTGGACGCGCTGAGGGAGGGCGGCGGATCCCTGCGGGCCAGTGCCTGCCCCGGATTCCCAGCCTCCCGCGAAGGCCCGGCGGGAGGGAGGGAGGGGGAGGGACGGGGAGGGAAGGCCTGGAGGGCACGGGGCGGGTGGGGGAGGGGAGAAGGCGGGGCGGGGAGAGGAGGGGGCAGGGAGGCGGGAGGAAGGCCCGAAGCAGGAAGACGCCCCGCCCGTGAAATTTGCATGAGCGCCGGCCTCCTAGGACCTGGGGCTTCCGTGTGGTAAATCTGGATTAGGCCATTTTTTTAAAAAATAAATTGTTACATAGTTCCATATTCATTGTTGTCCCCCACTTCATGCTTTGGTCACCGAAAGTTGTCATAACCAATTCCGTTGGCTGCAAATGTTAGGAAAAGAGGAAGAAACGCTGATGAGGAAAATCAGTGACAGTGGAGAAAAGAGGGGGACAGCTTTCTGAGGCCACAAGACGTTAATCCCAGGTTTTAGGACCCCGGAAGGAACCTTGATAATTTAGTTGCTTCTAATCGGAAAATGCGTGAATCCAGACTGAGGATGACTTTTTCCTTCAGGGATCTTTCGTGCAGAGAGAGGGCAAATCTTCAGATAGACCGCGGGAGGAAGGTTTGTGAGGGAGACAGCTGGACTGTTCAAGGGTAATCTTACGGCAAAGGTAGAATCACGATGCTCGCAAACGTGTGAAAATGACCCGTGTTAAAGATTTTACGCTCCTCATTCATTAATGAGGGATCCAGGCAGTTGTTAGAACGAGTTCAGAGGCGCAGGGGTGGCTCAGTTAAACATGCGGCTCTTGATTTCAGCTCAGGTTGTGATCTCAGGGCTGTAAGATCAAGCCCCCACCAGTTCCACAAGCCTGGAGCCTGCTTGAGATTCTCTCTCCCTCTGCCCCTCCCCGGGCTCACATGCACTCTCTTTCCCTCAGATAAATAAATAAATGAAATCTTCAAAAAAAAAAAAAAAGAAAGAAAGAAATATTTTAAAAGAACAGCTCAAAAGAAAAACCCCCCCAAAATCACATATTTGCATTTATAAAGAGTAAAAAATTGTTGAAAGTGTAGAAGGAGGCAAACTGGCTTTCTTCCAGGGGATGGGAAAGGAGGGTGGGTGACACAGGACAGTCTCAGTGTCTACCATTTACGTGCAACTTACACAATTGTCAGGCGTCTCCAAGACGTTGAAAGATGAGAATCAGCCTGGAAGACATCCTCTAGACAAGCCTAGTTTTCCATCAATACACAAAATTGTTTCTATAAGACTGTTTTGAAGCACCTTCCAGCATCTTGGAAGTACCATTGACATAAAGACTAGATACGACTAATGACACGACATTTTTCTCTATTTGCTAATTTGGCTCCCTAAGCACCGTTACTAACTTCTGATTTAATAACACGTGGTTAACACGCGATGGTTCATAATCTCAAGACTCTATGCCTTGCTGCAGTTTGCCAGCTCAGTGTTAAATTTACTTAAAAAAAAAAAAAAAGTTGCCTCCCCATCAGTCTCAATTAGCAAAATGTGCTGTAGATTCAAATGTTATGAGGCAGCCCTTTATTACAAAATACACCTCTGCCACAGTATTCAAAAGCAATTAATTCCTACCATTTTCCCACCTTGTTTCCTAAAAGGATCTAGCAGATCCTTTGTACGGTTTTACTCATCATTTAACTTGTACCTTTCACTAGAACCCAGCTGGACTCCTTCCTGCCCTGCCCTTTCCTTCCTGCGGCTTTCCCACCTCGGGGAGAAGGCGGCCCTCTCCTACTATTTATACAAATCATCTTCAGCTTTTAGAATTCTTCTCCATGAAGCTTGCTTGAGTGCCACAACTCTTCTTTTTTTTAAAGATTTTATTTATTTATTTGAAGGCGAGAGTAAGCAAGAGAGAACACGACCAGGGAGGAGCAGCAGAGGGAGAGGCAGAGGGAGAAGCAGACTTCCCTCCTGAGCGGGGAGCTTGAGGTGGGCTCCGTCCCAGGACCATGAGATCATGATCTGAGCCAAAGGCAGAGCTTAACCCATTGAGCCACCCGGGCTACAACTCTTTTGCAATTCCCTCATCTACATTCCTAAAGAACTATTCCTTTGGCATTTTGTACTATAAACACAGTCACTGGGTAAGTATCATGTTCTCACGGAAGAAAGCCTTGTTTACACAAATGTAGTGACCTGAGGTTTCTCAGAGCAGACGCTATGAGTATTCTAATCTTAAAACACCAGAGCTCAATGAAGAATGCTTCCCATTCCTGTCAATTTTCCTTAACCCACAGACATGTTCCCTCTCTTTGGATTTGGTTTCCTTAACTATAAAATGAGGGATGACACCAGATATGGTTCTCAAATTTTAGCCTCCAAATCCCCTGGAGGGCTTGGGAAACCAAAGGGCAGGGCCCCAACCAGAGCCTCTGATCCAGAGGGGTCCAGGATGGACCTTGGGAATTTGCCCGTCCAACAAGATTTTGGGTGATGATGCTGACGTTCCTGGTCCGAAGACCACACTCTGACAACCAAGACCAGAATTAGGGACTAGCGAACCCACTTAACTGATCATCAAAACCACTTAGGAAACTTGCAAAGGAAATTCGGATGTCCTGCGCTCAGACGTCCTGAGCCAGAATCTTCATAATTGACACAGGGAGAATTCGTTATTTCCAAAAAGCTTCCCTGACGACCCTTATAGTGGACAGAATTTAGGACCTGATTGAACTAGATAATCTGTACAAGTCATGTCCCTGTCGACACTTCCATGGTTTTATATCCTGAGTTCAGCAAGAAAAGCCCAGCTGAAGGATGACAGGTGCAACTCCCAGGCTAGAATATCCCCTATAGCTCAATCAAACTGGAAACATACAAGAAAAGGGATTTCTGGGGAAAATGGCTGAGTTTAGCCAAGAGGACACACTGCCAGCCCATCTCACCATAGTGGGCACTGTTCCCGTCCTCCCCATTGTTATCTGCTGGCAATACACTTTTTATCATCAAACAGATTCCTTTATATCCCAGTCCGAAATGTCTGTAATCAAATTATTTTACTGCCTTGGAATTTCTCCAAAATAATGGGTAGGTGTTTAGGGTTTTTTTTTTTTTTCCACATCTGAATAATTATTCAATTATCACCAAGAAGCCACCAAAAGTGTTATCACCAAGAACACACTGAGGGGCAGCCTTACACATAAATTCTTGTTTCTATCCTGAAATGCACAAATTTCTCACAACACCCAAGATGGCAGTTTTTCAGATTCCCTAATTTTAGTTCCAAATTGCTCTGGAAAATTCATCACACAAGTTAACATTTAACCCAGGCTCTTAAAAAAGTGTTTAAAGTTACATTCTTACAGAAATACTTGGTGTCAGCGGACACTAGGATTTCACCCAGTTCCTTAATAGGCGGAAGAACTATGACTCAGCAGACACAGCAGGTTATCTTTCCAAAGTTGTTTTAGTTTTCCTTATGAAATGGGGAACTAAAGTCCAGGGACTGAATGAGCCCAAGCTGAATTAACAAACGGGGTAAAGGCAAAGCTCAGGAAGACTGCTGACTCTGCTAAAACCCCATGATTAACACTGACCTTGAAGGCAAGGTCACGAAAAGTATTCCGTGGAACTGTTCCTCCCAAGAAATCTTGGAACACCATCAGAAAAAGTGCTGGTGTGTTTCAGAACATCTCGAAATAATACCTGAGGGAGAACATATTCCAGCTCATCTGTTACCACTTATGGGGCCACGCTGCTGACTCAGTTCCCACCCCCGACCTCGCAGCCTCCGATGCAGCTGGAGGTAGCCAGCTGGGAGATCGTCGTGTCTTGTGTGCTAGGCAGGCACTGCCAGTGAAGACAGGTCAGAAAGCTGAGTGGAAAAGAAGGCAACTGGCTTCTAGAGGATTCTTCGGCCAGTCAGCCATCTTGTCACTTTCATCAATCTCTCTTTTTTTTTTTGTCCAAGTATGTAAGTTACGGACAACATGACATTTGCCCCTCAAAAAAATGTGTGGTAGGGGCACCTGGGTGGCTCAGTGGGTTAAAGCCTCTGCCTTCGGCTCAGGTCATGATCCCAGGGTCCTGGGATCAAGCCCTGCATTGGGCTTTCTGCTCAGCAGAGAGCCTGCTTCCCTTCCTCTCTCTCTGCCTGTCTCTCTGCCTACTTGTGATCTCTGTCAAATAAATAAATAAATAATCTTTTTTAAAAAAACGTGTGGTAGTCAGCCTCCAAGATGACCCATAATGTGCTCCTTCTTCTGGGAATTCACACCCTCGTGCAGGCTCCTCCCACAAATGGCAGGGCAGAGAACACAGAAGCAGTGTGTCTCTTCCGGTTTTGGGTTGTAAAAGATGGCTTCCATCTTGCATTCTCTCTCGTGCACTTTCAGATCACTTTCTCTGGGGGGAGTCAGCAGCCATGTCATGAGTAGTGCTGTGGAGAGGCGCATAGAGCAAAGATGGTCCCTGATCGATAGCCCCGTGCCTGGACCATTGCAAACATGGGTCCCCCAGCTCCTGTCCAGTTTCAGGTGACCACAACACCAGCCAGCATCTTGATGGTGACCTCCCGAGAGACCATGCACCAGAGTCAGCTGGCTGAGCCACTCCTGGGCTCCTGACCCTCACACACAGCAGAATAATAATTTCTAGTGTTTCAAGTTGATAAGCTTGAGCCTAAATTGTTACATAGTGGTAAATAGTTAATACATACTTTTTTACACTATTGCCCCACATTTGTTTTGGGGGCTTCCATCGTTTTTTGTTCTGTGTACCCGTATCACGTTCTTTAGTTATCATGGTTTTTTGGTGGATACTCAAGTTCTTCTCTCCATCTTCAACATCATCTTGGCTCTTTCTGACCCTTTACTCTGCTGTATTAATTCTGGGATCTTAGTGTCAGCTTCCGTGAAAAATACCTAACAGGATTTTAATTAACTTTTTCGTTAAAATGGCACTGATATGTTAATAAGTGATTTGCGTGATTCCTGAGTGCTTTCCCATGTACAGAGCAGACACTTGTCCTGGGTCAGAGCCTCGGTTGAGCCTCAATGAAAGGGCCGTTCGCGGGGTAGGTGCCCCCAGAGAAGAGA